CCCGTCCAACGCAGTTTGGGCGAGGTCTCCGGTAAGGAGACACGGGGCCAGAGTTGAGCTGATGCGCAGCGTACCGGACCGCAAACGGCCACTGAAAATGGGGAGCAGCCGCATGGATCATGGAGGTACGAGCGACCTCCATGACTAAGCCAATGCGGCGCTCAGCAATCCCATTTTTCTGAGGGTGGTCCGGAAGCGTGAACGACTGGAGAATGCCCTCCCCACGAAAAAAGTCCCGCAAGAGGTTGGAGGAGAACTCACCACCTCTGTCAGAGTGCAGACGCAGGACAGGAAGGTCCTGACCGAACCGCTCGCGGAGCTGGAGACGAACTGTGCGGATCCAAGGGATCAAGACATCAACGACTTCACCCTTGTTGCGCAAGGGGAAGACCGTGGTGTACCGCGTATAGTCGTCAACTACCAGCAGAAAGTACCGCTCGCGGCTCTTTCCAGTGACGCGGGCTGGGCCCCACACGTCCATGTGGAGAGTCTGCAGTGGAGCAGTCGTCGGGGGAAACGAGGAGTGAGGAGTAGCGCGCTGCCGCCCTTGACGCACGGAAGGCAGGGCGGGGCAGGCGAGGGCGGGAGGGGAGGCAGAGACCTGGGAAGACCAGAGACAAGAAGACAAGAGTGCATGCCACGAAGGCGTGGCAGGGAGGGGTGACCCAGGCGGTGGTGCCACAGAAGAGTCTGGTGCGTCAGGAGGCGACACGAGCAAGAGGCGGCTACCTGACCTGACGCGGACACCTGAGCTGACGCAGCTACCTGAAGAGGCTCGGTAGCGAGTGTGTACAGACTCGACCCTGGCCGACGAGTGAACGTGGCCAGGTGACGCCCCGTCCGTGTGCACGTGCAGATCGACACACGTTGACCCCCAGGAGTGGTGGTAGTGACCATCGCATCCTGGAGGGCAGCGGTACTCACCAAGTTCGTAGAGAACGAGGGGAGGTGAAGACCTGACAGTGAGCCGGACGGAACCGCCGGACACGGGAGGACAGTGGAGGAACGGGCAACGACCGGGCCCCCAGAGGGGTCACCCATTCTAACAGGGACAGGTGCAAGGAGAGGAGTGATAGTGGTGCTGTCATGAAAGAAACAGCGCGAGGCGCCTGAGTCCAACGTGAAGGTGTGCAAGGCCTGAGGAGGCGCAGTACCAAGGAGAGTACCAGACTCACTAGCACCTAGAGCAGCAGCAGCGATACCTGGGTCAGGCGGCACACACCGGTAACAGTCACCCTCAGCACTAACAGACAATGCATACATAGCAGAAAGAAGAGCATCAAAGTATAGGTCAAAGATAGCAATCATAGACCTAAGCAGATCTGCCCAGCGAGGGAGCTCGAGGTCGTCACCAAACTCAGCACGCCAAGCGTCGTCGAGGCGGGAGAAGCAGCGGTGCTGAGTGTGAAGCTTCCCGCATGTCTAACCAGCACGAACACCCATGCGAATGACATACGGGCAGCTATCACTACCCCGAGACGTCCCACGCTGAAACAACCACTCACGGAGTTGCTGGGGCGACTGGGTCTCGCTCCGACGCCGCTGCTGCTGCTGCCGCTGGCCACCACCAGGGCCTCCATGCCTAGGTCCAGCCCACCCGCCTCCAGTCCCACCACCTCCACTGCCGCCACTCCCACCGCTGCCTCCACCTCCGCCACCAGAGCCCCCTCTCCCGCCACCAGTCCCATCGCCGCCACCACCTCCACTGCCTCCACTACCTCCACTGCTGCCCCCACCACCACTCCCGCTGCCACCTCCACCACCACCGCTGCCACCTCCACCACCCCCGCCACCCTTGCCCTTGCTGGTGCAGCGCTTCGCACTAGCAAAAGCAGCCCTGACGTCCTCAGCAACAGAGACGCCTGCAGCAGGAGCAGAGGCGTAGGAGGGGGCAAGGGGGGAGGGGGAGCACCCCTACAAGAAGGGCGGGCGCGGAGTGCAATGAGCAGCACCTACAGCAACTGCACTAGTCTCAGCTACGAGGAGATGCTGCTCGAGGAGGTCAATAGTGAGGGAGGTGGGGTCAACAGAGCAAAGAGAGTAAGGGAGGCGAGTGACTATGAAGTAGAGGGTGATGAACATCGGGGGCTGGTTCCTGTCAAGGAACTCAGCAGGGACGGTAGCGCGAGCGTCGCTAGTGCGCAGGTGGGAAACCAGGTCCTCTACTGTGGCAAAAGCTGACAGATCGGGGAACAGGTAGGGCAGTAGCAGTCGGCCTAGAGCAGCAGTGGCACGCGAGGAGTAGCGAGCTACGACTGCGGCGTACATTGCCTGTGCTGTCCGAAGTGAGCGCATTCAGCTAACGGCAGGTGGTTGCGAATGGCTAAGCGGGCAGCAGCGTCGCGAGTAAGCCATTGTGAGCGAGTCGCACTGTCAGATGTGGCGGGAGGGGAAGTAGCAGCGCCTGATGCTAGGTCAAACGGCAAAACACTGTCCTTAGAATCACTCAGTAGATACAGCTGGAGGTCGTCGAGCCACGTGTCAAACTGAACCGGTCTGCCCTCATGATCGAACGCGAGAACCCTAAGCGAAGCCATAGTGGCGCAGCACGCAGGAGAAGCTGTAGCAGCAGTAGCAGCAGCAGTAGAAGCTGTAGCAGTAGCAGCAGGGACAGAGAGGCCTAAGGGGCCGAGGGGCCTGGGGCCTAGGGGCCGAGGGGCCGAGGGGCGGGGCCGAGGGGCCAAACACGAAGGGGGGGGGGGGGGGGGGGGGGGGCTAGGGGCCGAGGGGCCAAGGGGCCGAGGGGCCTGGGGCCTAGGGGCCGAGGGGCCGAGGGGCGGGGCCGAAGGGCCTAGGGGCCGAGGGGCCAAACATGAAGGGGGGGGGGGGGGGGGGGGGGCTAGGGGCCGAGGGGCCAAGGGGCCTAGGGGCCTGGGGCCTAGGGGCCAAGGGGCCGAGGGGCGAGGCCGAGGGGCCTAGGGGCCGAGGGGCCAAAGGCTAGGGCGACGGGTCGCTAGGGGCCGAGGCTAGGGCGACGGGGCCGCGGCTAGGGGCGACGGGTCGCGATGGGCCGAGGCGAGGGGGGGGGGACGGGGCGACGGGTCGCGGGTCGCTAGGGGCCGAGGCTAGGGCGACGGGGCGACGGGGCCGCGGCTAGGGGCGACGGGGCGACGGGCCCGCGGCTAGGGGCGACGGGGCAACGGGTCGCGAGGGGGCCGCGGCTAGGGGCGACGGGGCCAAGGGGCTGAGGGTTGGGCGACGGGGCGACGGGTCGCTAGGGGCCGTGGCTAGGGGCAACGGGGCGACGGGGCGACGGGTCGCTAGGGGCCGCGGCTAGGAGCGACGGGGCGACGGGGAGACGGGGCGACGGGTCGCTAGGGGCCGTGGCTAGGGCGACGGGGCGACGAGGCCAAGGGGCCGCGGCTAGAGGCGACGGGGCCAAGGGGTCGCGGCTAGGGGCGACGGGACCAAGGGGCCGGGCTAGAGGCGACGGGTCGGGGCCTAGGGAGCCTACGGGTCGCGAGGGTGGCTAGCAGGGAAGTAGGTGGTGGGAAAAAAAAAAACGGTCGTAGAAGGGACCTGCTCTGATACCATGTTAAAGTAACGAACGAGAATGAATGAACTATGAAACAGTTGGGTACAAGTACTAACCCTAATTGGGTTGTACCCCTTATGGGCTACCCCACTATAGCCCACACAAATGTAAAAGCTATAATGTTATGACAACTTGTACCCAACTGTTTCATAGTTCATTCATCCTCGTTCATTCTTCTGACACGCTCTAGGCGCCAGCGCTGTAGGTGGCAGCGCTCTAGGCGGCAGCGCTCTAGGCTCTAGCTCTCTAGGCGCCAGCGCACTAGGCGGCAGCGCAATACGCGACAGCGCTGCAAGCGCCAGCGTGCTAGACGCCTGCGCGCGAGGCGCCAGTGAGAAAGGCGCCAGCGCGTTAGGCGCCAGCGCGTTAGGCGCCAGCACGCAAGGCGCCAATGCGCTATGCGCAAGAGGGGTCGGCGCTAACGCGGTAGGCGCCAGTGCGTTAGGCGCCAGCGCGATAGGCGTCAGTGCGTTAGGCGCCTGCGCGCTAATCGCCATCGCGCGAATCTCCAGCGCGCTAGATCCTAATGCGTTAGGCACTAGCGCCCACGGCGCCAGTGCTCATGGCGCTGATGCGCTATCGTTTAAGGCGCCAAGGTGCTAGCACTCAAGGCGCCAGCAGCCATGGCGACAAGGCGCCAACGTCTAAAACCCGGGTCTCATATTTCCTAGTGTATTAGACTTGGTTGGGCTAAAGCGCCTGTGATTGGGTAACAACAGGCAAGATTTGTGATGAGCAGTTTGGAAAACACAGACAAAACCTCAGTTCGTCTATGCAAAAGCCAATCGAGCCCCTCAGGCATGGAAAACTACCACACCTAGAAAACAGCTCCGGCAGTATCGCACTTCCATGCGACCAACTGAAACGACAAGACACAATTCGCCCACCTTCACTCGGAAAGGCAGAGCAAAAATCTCAGCCGTGTTTCTTAGAACCTCCAGTTAGTATGGTTCCTCCGCATGTACCTCCGCGAGCAAGATGTTGACCCGAGCACAATGTCCTCTAATATAGCAGCCTATTAGATCGCCCATCGGACCTCGTAACAGGATACTTGCGAACAAGTTTATAAGCGGATAACGCACTCATTGGCGAGTAAAGAATCGTCCAATGTCGTGCACCGTCGCAACGCGATCGCGTGTTACGAGGTAGCCAGTTCGTAACATCCCGAATCGCGATCTTACTTTCTGTGGTCAGCTGCAGAACACGGACACGTGATGGCGCATATCAGAATGCGCACAGGCCCGTGCCAAGTGCGAGTGGCATGTGTGTGGGGTGATTGTGTGTGTGCGCGCGCGCACGGAACTGCGTGCGTACGTGCGCGTGGGCGTGGGCGTGCGCGTGCGTGCGTGCGTGACATGCGTGCGTGCGTGCGTGCGTGCGGGTGCGCGTGCGTGCGTGGGTGCGTGCGTGCGCGTGCGTGCGTGTGCGCGCGTGTGCACCTGTATGTATTAATGTGCGTGAGTGCATGTGCATAGAAATCCATCCCTCATTATGCCACACGTCCCTCAGCCTTCACATCGCGGTGCTCTCACCTCCCTCCCCCCTCCCTCTCTCCCCTTCCCTCTCTCCCCCCCCCCCCCCCCTCCCTCTCTCCCCTTCCCTCTCTCCCTCCCCCTCCCTCTCTCCCCTTTCCTCTCTCCCTCCCCCCTCCCTCTCTCCCCTTCCCTCTCTCCCTCCCCCCTCCTTCTCTCCCCTTCCCTCTCTCCCTCCCCCCTCCCTCTCTCCCCTTCCCTCTCTCCTCCTCCCGCCCGAAGCTGTTCTCAGGTCAGCCCATCCACGCCATCAGCAGCTCGCTCCTCTCCCACCCCTCCACCAACCCATTCCCCTCCCCAGCTGCCGCACCTGCTGACGTCTGCTCGGGTGCTCATACTACTTCCACTTCTCCCACACCTCCTCTCCTTGTACTCCCACCCATCAGCTCTCCCACCATCCAGCACCCGTCACCCCTCTTTCGCCTCCTTCATTCCGTCTGGAAACGTTTTGCTGCCTTCCAGGAACCTTCTCCACGTTCCTTGCGCTGTGATTGCTGCCCCCTCCCCCTTCCCCCCTCTCCCTAATAACCCACCCTCCACCAACATCCCTCATGTCCGCGGCAAGACTATGCCATCTGCCCTCCTCTCTTCTCATTTCCCCTACTATGCCACCCCATCTCCTGTCCTGTCCCTTCCCTTCTCATCCCCCCTCCCATTCTGCCCAGCTGCCCCCCTTTCCTTCCCATCTTGCCTGCCAACCTGTCATCCCATCCGCTCTACGCTCAGATCCCCATGCCCTTTCAACTCCCGCTCTCCTTTCACATCTCCCCTCCCTTCCCTTCCATCACCCCTGCCCTCTTTTCTTCTCCCCACCCTTCCCCCCTATCACATTTCTCTTCTTTCACATCTCCAGGGCCCTTTTTCTTATACCTGGAGCCTTCCTCCCGTCACCCCTCCCTTTGTTTCAGCTACAAGCAGGACTAAGCTAGTCGCAGGCGAGCCTGGCGGAATGGAAGGGACAGGCAGGCAGGCGATGAACGGCCAGATGCACGAAGGCGAGACCAATGATAGAGGAAAGCTGTACCCTGTTTCTTTATGATATGGGTATTATAGATGTGTATACATTCAATAAGTTCTTATATCAGTGCCTTTCTCAAGTGCTACCGGTACTTCAAAGATGGCTTATGATTATGACGGCCATAACAAACAAACAACAATATCAACAGTATTGGATGCATAAAAGCAGTATGTATGACAAGAGGTTAGAAGCACTCGCAAGCCTACTTTCAGCTCAACTGACTTCTGAATCTACACAATAGTCACAAAAGTAGGGTTGACTGGTTCTTTGTTGCTCCATGCTGGAAGCAGGGCAATAGGGGGGAGGCAAGGGAGGAAACTGAGGTGAGGCAAGGGAGGAAATTGAGGGGAGGCAAGGGAGGAAACTGAGGGGAGGCAAGGGAGGAAACTGAGGGGAGGCAAGGGAGGAAACTGAGGAGAGGCAAGGGAGGAAACTGAGGGGAGGCAAGGGAGGAAACTGAGGGGAGGCAAGGGAGGAAATTGAGGGGAGGCAAGGGAGGAAACTGAGGGGAGGCAAGGGAGGAAGCTGAGGGGAGGCAAGGGAGGAAACTGAGGGGAGGCAAGGGAGGAAACTGAGGGGAGGCAAGGGAGGAAACTGAGGAGAGGCAAGGGAGGAAACTGAGGGGAGGCAAGGGAGAGAGAGCGGGGAAGGGTGGGGGAAGGAGACAGGGAGGGAGGGCGGAAGGGAGGAAGGGAGGGAGAAAGGGAGAGAGTGATGGGAAGGAAAAGAGGCAGGGAGGAAGGGAATCAATAATTGCTTTGTGGATTCATGTGTGAAAGGCGGGGCAAAAAGGAGGAACGGCAGGCAAAATGTTTGCTGCATGGGAGGAGCTGGTAGCACGGGATGAGAGGTGACAGCAGAGTGGGAAGGGAGATGGGGGAAGGGAAGGGGGATGCTGGGAAGGGAAAGGGGGATGCTGGGAAGGGAAAGGGGGATGCGGGGAAGGGAAAGGGGGGTGCGGGGAAGGGGGCAAGGAATGCTGGGAAGGGAAAGGGGGATGCAGTAAGGGAAGGGGGATGCTGGGAAGGGAAAGGGGGATGCTGGGAAGGGAATGGGAGATGGAGGAAGCGGAAAGGGGGATGAAGGGAAGGGAATGGGAGATGGGGGAAGTGGAAAGGGGGATGAGGGGAACGGAATGGGAGATGGGGGAAGCGGAAAGGGGGATGAGGGGAAGGGAATGGGAGATGGGGGAAGCGGAAAGGGGGATGCTGGGAAAGGGAAAAAGGCAAAGGAAAAAGGGATGAGGCGGATGTGCGTCTGCTTCACCTGCCACACCATTGAGACACAACCCCTTCACACCCACAGGTGTGCCTTCCCGTCCCCTCAGCTCTCGAGGCCTCTCCTCCCGTCCCCTCCCATCCCATCCCCTCCTCTCTTGTCATGTCCCCTCCTCTCGCCCAGTCACATCCTCTCTCGTCGCGTCACCTCCTCTCTCGTCGCGTCATCTCTTCTCTCGTCGCGTCCCCTCCTCTCGTAGCGTCCCTCCCGTCCCTTCCAGTCTCGACGATACTCTTCTTGTCAGCTACCGTCCCGTCGAGTCCCCTCCCGTCCCTTCCCGACCCGTCGCGTCCCCTCTTTTGCGTCTCTGTGTTTTCTCCTCCCGTCCCTTCCTTCCGTTCTGTGTCTATTTCTTTTAGGGGTATGGTGGTGCGCACTCGCCCACCCCCACAGATTCACCGCTAGGAAAATCTGCGTGTCAGAGGCGGCGACGGCGACGGCGCTCGCCTTGCTGCCTCCCTCTCCGCTTCCGCCGATGCCTCTCCGTCTCCGCTCCCGTCGATGCTGCTCCGCTACCGCTTCCACTCTCATTATGCTCGCCTAACCTCCCTTCCACGTTTTGTGCGCGCGGATATGCGATTGCTATGCTCTCCCTAAACCCTATTCTACTATCGTGCGCCTTTCTTCTCCTTTCGTTCGCGCAACAATTAGCTGTACGATATACCGAGTCGATCGACCGTCCGTACGTACGCAGATCTGCGTGAACTGAGACTCCATTTGAGTGAAGGTGGAACGAACGCGGCATAGCCTCTAGAGTCTGCAAAGGAAAGCCATGAACAATATATAGCCTAACTAAGTCGTCGAAAAAAGACTAGGCCTGGACTAAGTAGTGGTTGTGTCGTGTGTAGGTCACTATGTCTCCAGCTGCATTTGGTTTGATCCTGAGTCTTATTCTATTGTGGTAATACGCTTGTTTCTCTGTATTCTCTACCGTCATTGCACAAGGTGGTGTGTTTCTCGCAAATATGGTTGGGTAGTCGTGCCCCAACCTGGTGGGTTTGCAACCAATCACAGGTGCACCCAACCTTCCCAACAAAGTTGCGACTGATTTGAGAGGTTACCCGGTTTCGAGCGTATTACTCTTGGTTGGAAAGGAAGAAATATGAGACCCGGTCAAGGCGCCAGCGTTTGAAGCAACAAGGCGCAAGTGTTTAAGGCACCAAGGCGCAAGCGTTTAAGGCACCAAGGCGCCAGCGTTTAAGGCACCAAGGCGCCAGCGGCGCCAAGTCGCCAGCGCTTATGGTGCCAATGTGACAGAGTTGGAGGTGTCAAGGTGCCAGCGCTCATGGCGCCAAGGCACCAATGTTTAAGGCGCCAATGTGACAGAGTTGGAGGCGTCAAGGTGCCAGCGCTCATGGCGCCAAGGCACCAATGTTTAAGGCGCCAAGGCCCCAGCGCTCATGGTGCCAAGGCGCCAGCGTTGAAGGCGCCAACGCGCCAGCGCTCATAGCGCCAAGGTGCCAACGTTTAAGGCGCCAAGGCGCCTGCGTTCAAGGCGCCGTGCCAAGGCGCTAGCGCTCATGGCGTCAAAGCGCCAGCGTTTCAGGCGCCAAAGCGCCAGCGTTTAAGGCGCCAAGGCGCCTGAGTCTAAGTTGCCATCGTTTAAGGCGCCATGGCGCCAGCGCTCATGGCACGAAGGAGCGAGCGTTTAAGGCGCCAAGGCGCCAACTTTGATGGCACTAGCGCCCAATGTGCCAGCACTCAAAGGCGTTAGCGCCCAATGCACCAGCGCTAAAAGGCGCCAGCGCCCACGGACACTAGAGCTCGTGTTGCATGCACCTAACGGGGCAAGCGCCCGACCAGCACTAGCACCTACTGGAGCAATTACCGAGGCGTTTCAGAGGAGAGGAGACTTGATGCAAACATATAGTAGAAAACTGAACCTACTTCTTGTTGAGAATTGGGATAAACACAAAAGAGTATGATTGCACACTAAAATAAGGCAAGAATGCAATAACGGAATTATAGTGCACGTTGATGAATGGGTTGTATGCTTGATAAAAACGTACATGATGCTTTAGAGCTTGAGCTTGTGACTATAATGAGAAACTTGTGTAAGGTGGAATGATTGATAGAGATAAGAATTCAAATAAGAATAGGAGGATGAGAGCTTGCTAAAAGAATGAGAAATGTTAAGACACTTACTTGAGTGGATCTTACAAAGAATTGTTGTAGAGTAACTTGGGAGAAGAGCTTCAACCTGAAGGCATTACCTGGGGGGAACTTCAAACTTAGGGTTGGATGACAATCATTTCTCGAGTTTGTAGCTAGTGGCTTCTTCATACCATAGTAGAGTATGAGGTAAATTGCTGTTCACTTGAGAACTACTTTGTAGACTAGATGAGAAACTTTTGTGAGCATGAACTTATATTAAAAGAGGTACAGTACAAGCCTTATAGATACATGAGGGATACATAGACATGCATTGGAAGAGGTAACCATGAATAGTAGCTTTGGAAGAGAGTTGCATGAGAGTAGCATCTTTGGAGACATCGGACTTGATTGCTAGAAATGAGCCTTTGTAGTAGAATTGGACTTGAGGATCTTGAAGGAGCCTTGGAGAGGAGCTTAATGAAGATGCTTGAAGAAGCCTTGTTGTTATTGAAGAACTTTCTTGAAAAGTTAAAGATGGTGGAGCATGTGATGGTGGTTGAGCACTTGATGAGTTGGAGTTGTAGGCCTTGTAGTGTTGGATGAGAATTTGGGTGACATGTGAAGGGATGAATGGAGGGGATAGGAAGGCTTTGATGTCTCGGAGGAAAAGGTGAGGTGGTAATCATGAGTTTTTAAGAGATGAGTTGGCAACTTTGGTGACATGGGAAAGGAAGGAACGGATGAATAAATGAGAGACATTTGGAGGTCAGTGACCAAGAAATGGAAGCATGCGCTTGAAGGCACATGGAAGGAGGATTATTGGAGGAGGTTGATGACTTATTTGGTAATATTTGGTGAATAAGAAAGAAGAGCACATGGGAAATTATGAAGAGTCATGTGCCTTATGGTGGAGCTTGGGGATGAATAGTGAAAGGAAACATGACATCGTGAGTGGGATTAGAGAGGAAACAAAGCGTGAGTGGGATTCGAGAGAGCAAACATGCGCTTCGGTTGTCAACTACAGACATTTCGCTCTAAAGTTACACTCAGTACTGGTTCCGAAACACAGTCTCATCATTCATATGGGAGTAGGGCTCTCTTTTGGGAGGTCAAGTTCTTTCAAAGGACCTCTTATCCACACTGCTTCTCGGGCTCCTTAGGTCACAACCATGTACTCTGCCTTCGTGGATGATTATGCCACACAAATCTGTTTCTTTTGACAGGGAAGATATGGCTGCCCCTCCAAGCATTATAATGTATCCTCCAATGGACCTGTGGTTGGTGACGTCCCCAGCCCAATTTGAATCCGCAAAGCCATACAACATGCTTGCACCCTCAAACCCTTGAAAGGAGAGACAAAAGGAAGCGGTTGCTTTGAATAGCGCAGGGCACGAAGCGCCCCACGGTGGAGCTTGCGAGTGTGCGATGTCATGCATTGAGAGAGCACGTCAACAGTATGGGAGAGATCAGGATGGGTACAAATAGAGAAGTACATAAGGCTTCCTACTTGGCTCTGGTAGAGTGAGAGCTCAAGGGGTGTGATGTGACATGTGGACTGTGGTACGTAGGTGTCATGACCAATATCCCCAGGAGGCTCAAGGCTCTCGATCTCACCCTCAAGCTCAATGACTTGAGACTCAGCGGTGGAAGAGTCAACGCTTTGCTCGTGCGGGCTCAGCGTGAAGTCCGTGGGGAGTGGGGGTCTCAACTAGGTTGCAGTCAAGGAGACCGAACCCTGACAGGACCTTCTCGGTATACATCTGCCGTGAGATGAAAAGTGAGTCAACAACATTTCCGTCGTTCAGTGCAGTTGCAACCAATAAGAACAACACATGTTTGTGAGAAGTATGTAATGTTTATCATATCTGTTTAAAATATAATTGGTTGGAAATCCCAACCATTGCCACATGGGCAAGGCCCGTGGAGGTGCACCCCTCTGCCATGGAGAAGGTGGCTGCACCCCAAGGGGGTCTAGGGAGGGGTCTGAGCTCCCGAGGCTCATTCTTCACTTCCTTTCCCCAACAACTCAATTGGGAAAAAGGATTGCTCTTCCTCAATTTCTCCTCCACAATTTGTGATTGGCCTCTCTACAACTTTCTAGACTTAGGCAATTTTAGTAGCTACTATTCTCTTATTGTACAAGAACTCTTTTATGTATAGGTAAATGCCCTTCCTAATTGGCTATATGTTATATAACCCCTCACTTGTGCGTACGATGTACGGTGCAGCATCAAACTGTGACTTTGTGAAACCTTGGTTGAGGGGTGATACCTCAAGGGTGTGAACCTAACTCGTGGCGCTTGTTTTAGTCCATAAACGGACTTTACCATCTTTCAGACATTGGTGGTACCATCGGAATAGCCCTCAGGTTGAACCATGTAGATCTCTTCTTCGAGCTTACCATAAAGGAAGGCATTCTTCACGCCCATATGATGGATGTGGAGATCCTTCACTGTGGCCATTACCAGGAGGCATCTGATAGTGGTGTACTTGGCTACAGCAGAGAAGGTCTCTCTGGAGTCCGTGCCTGGCATATGTGAGATACCTTTGGCTACCAGGCGTGTAGTGAATCGGTCAAGTGTACCATCTGTCAGAGGTCCACTGGTGATCCCCGATCGATCCTAGGGAAGGGTTACAGGCTCGTTGTCCTGGGGGGTTATGGGCGCACTGACCCGCTACTTAACAAGCCCTTTTATCCCAATGGTCTAGTGGTTGGGATTCTGACATGTTATCAGAGCAAAGGTCTCGGGTTCGAATCCCAGTGTGTGCACTTCGGGCATCCCAGTGCGGGGGGGTGTCAGAGGTCCACTGGTGATCCCCGATCGATCCTAGGGAAGGGTTACAGGCTCGTTGTCCTGGGGGGTTATGGGCGCACTGACCCGCTACTTAACAAGCCCTTTTATCCCAATGGTCTAGTGGTTGGGATTCTGACACCATCTCCCATCACTTTCACTCGGTATCTCCACCTAACCTTTAGTGCTCTCTTAACTAGAGGGAGTGGTGCCAAGACCCATGTACCTTGTGCACGGAGGCTGTTGATCTTGTCTTTCTCTGCCTTTACCCACTCTTCTCTCTCAGTGCTTGCCAGGGCTTGTTTGTGAGTGGATGGCTTAGATGGAAGGCAACTGATGGCGCGACACATGGCAGCTACCTTGCAGTCCATGCAGTGAGGCTTAGTGCACATGGGTGTGACTGGAAAGCATGCACCGACTGCAAGGTTCATGCGCTGGACTGGCTTGCGTGCTCGCTTGGGGCGCAGTTCGTGCCCAATGATACCTTGGCGACTTGTGTTACCATCCGGGATGGTTGGAGGTGCTGGTGGTGAGTTTGCCCTGGGAACATCATTTGGTGGTTGAACGGGTTGAAGAGGCCCAAACACCCGCAACATGGAAACATCGGGCTTCTTCCCATGCCATGCTTCAAATGAGTTGATACCTGATGGAAGAGCGGTGGTTGGACGACGATTCTTGAGGTGGACTGCATGGTTCACAGCTTCTCCCCACCATGCATCGTCTAGCTTCACATGCAAGAGAAGGGATCTTGCAATTTCTTGCAAGGTGCGGTTGAACCTTTTGGTAATGCCATTCTACTGAGGGGTGTAGGGGCATGAAAAATCTTGTGGG